AAAAAAAGAAAGAAAGAAAGAAAGAAAATCTGATAGTACAGTATTTGTTTCCTAAGGGATAGCAGTCAATCTATAACTTACCCATTAATATGATGGAAGCGAAACTTGCAATTATCTTTTGAGGGTTTCGAGCTATGCAAGAGTATATACCAATGTCACTCATATTGATATATTTGATGGTGAGTTTGCCTTCTCCGATCACGTGATTCTCATCCGGGGTAATAACATTTCCTTCTCTTTTCCATGTAATTGTTGGTTTAGGTTCTCCTTTCGCTTTGCAATTGAGAGTTTTTGCTTCGCCTTTGGAGGTTCTCTGATCTTTGGGAAAGACTTCAAAGCTCGGAGGAACTGAGGGAATTAAAGCAATATGAATATGACTGTTGTTTGTCAATGTAAGGTTAGTTATAGGGGAAATCTGTTGCAACACACAACGATCCTCAGTGAAAAAAGATAATCCAATCATTGCTTAATATCCTGCGAATTCCGAATTCAGTTAATTATTATACCTTTTGCAAACAATATTTAGATTCTTTGTGACATTTTCTTTGTAGAGAAAGTCTAGATCTGTTGTTAATCAACGGATAATACATTTATTATGTCGAAACGGCTACACCACGTGAGAAACAACAGCATCGTGATTACGATATATATTCATGGAACATAGTTGCAATACTGACTCCAAGCTTTTGTAGATCAGTTTTCTTATGGCTGTGAAAAGAACACTGTGCCGTAAGTGTGCCATGCCGTGACCGTGATTCTTTCTAGAATTTTAATTCGCTGATCTTTTCTCTTCAATGTTGTTATTTGGACAGTGCCATGATGTTGGCGTGAACATGCCCACCCCTTGTTCTATGTATTTGATTGGATGGAATGTAAATAGGACGTTTGCATAATGGCGTCCTTTTCTTTCTTGTTTTAAATTTGTATTCCCTCATGAAAATAATTAACTGAACAAAAGAAAGTGTGCAAGGGAGTCTGGTAGTAGAGGTCAATGACGCCATCATGCAAACGTACTATTATAGAAATATGATTGGCCTGGCGTATACCTTGCTGTGTCACGACCGTGTTTGTATGGTGAGCTTTTCACAGTCGTCATGGAAACTGCTCTATATTAAAATAGTCATCTTATAAACGTCATTCTTATTTAGTTCACTTACGTCCAATAGTAAGAGACACTTTAGCAGATACTTGACCAAGTTCGTTAGCAGCAATACATTCATATTCTCCCTTGTCTTCGTCGGCTACGTTTTTAATGACGAGGGTAAAATTCGAAGAAAACGAAATAAAGCGAGGAGATGTCAATTCTTTTCCATCCTTTTTCCATGTTATGTTAGCTGGTGGATAGCTGGAGATGGAACAACTGATATATCCTGTCATCCCTTTCGTCACAACGTTAGGAGAAATATCACGGATTCGGGGAAACTCTGAAAAAAAGGAAGTTAAGAGAAATTTAGCCACTTTCTATTTTTATCATGGCCATGATTTAGCCTAGGCCATCAAATTGTTCTGATTTGAAGTTTGAATGTCATTTCTGATAACTAACTCCAGAAGTATCTAAGTGTCTTTTATTGAATAAGCATTTACGTTTTCTCTCAATGACATGCCTGCCTCTTTGTAAATGTAATGGAACTTTACCGTTTATAGTGACATCAGTGGTCGCTTCCACTGATCCAGCGGTATTCGTCAATGAGCATGTGTAGTTACCAGAGTCAGACTGTTCTACATCGTGCACTACAAGCTGACCACTAGAAACGGTTATTCTTTTAGACACGATGTCGTCCCGATTAAGAGGCTTTCCATCTTTCTTCCAGTCATTAATAAGAGAATTGACTCGAGGAGAGACCGACGATGATGATCGGCATGTAATACGAAGTACACTTCCTGACGTTAATGTTATGTTTTTTGGAGGTTTGGTGCCAAAAACAGGTTCAAGAGAAGACACAGCTACGGAGCAAGAAAAAACAACATATCATCATATATCCCGAATGAAACAATGGTGACAATTTGAATAAGTATTGTTCTACACTGAATATTGAATTGAAGTGCTGCTGAGTGTTTCTCAGTGTTTTTTCTTTTTCTGGACCTGATCTCTAGCAGTTACAGGTTAGCTGTCAGCAGTAAACCTGATGCTAAAGGTCTCTTAGTAATGAATGTGAGCAGAACCAAATGAAGGTTGTGCCTACTTTCTCCTCTCACCTCTACACGTTATCCCGTCTCCTATGTATTTGTCAGGACATTCCAAACATATTGACTCTTTTTTCCCCGACTTGGTAAGAACAGACAAATCAACACACGTGACTGAAGGAAAGCAAGGATTATCATCTTTGCAGGTCAGCGATAACACCTCCCTGCAGTAGTTATTAGCAATATCCTCTATAGTGGTGTTATCACAAACCACGCTGGCATCTTCGCCGTGGAACGAGTCACAGTTATTAATTCCCCAACCGTGGTGACGGCATTGAGTAAGAGAGCTCTCATAACCATAGCAATCTACGTTATCCATCCAAATTGTTCCACTTCCTGCAAGTGAACGAATGAGACAATAATTCTTTAAGTCTATCAATGGCAAATGAACAAATTCAACATTCGAAGGATACATTAGACTCCATATGTTCTAGATTGTTTCGAGTAAATTTATTTATTCCAGCCCCCCTTGCCCCCCCCTGGATCCGCCCTCGTGGGTCGCGTAATTATGGAAATCAGTGGAAGCAACCAAAAGAAATATAGAAAATTTGTAGTGATATAAGATACCTTTGCCAAATTCTGCATGAAGAGGGGCTTTCAAAGCTTTTCCAAATCCCAGTTCTCTGCATACAACGTTCGCATCTTTTAAGTCCCAGTTATCATCACAGACGGTACCCCAAGTCTCCTCGTGTAACACTTCAACACGGCCTTCTTGCTTACTCTTGCCGCCTACCAAGCGTACTGAAGGAGTAGACGGTCGAGACGGAAGAAGTGCAGCTACAGATTGCATTGCACCACAAGATTCAACACATTTGGATCCTTCTATACTCGTTCAAATAAGGACAGAAATGACAAAATATCAATGAAATAAACCTGAACAGGTGAGTACTCATGACTGAAAAAACAACTGACCGATTTGAGTCTCGCTTCGTTCGTAAACATAGGAATCGTTATCAAAGGGGATAGACTGTAAACAGTGCCTCTTTACATTTTATCATATGGAAAAACCATCGTGGAAAATAATTAAAGAGCAATGCGATAATCTTTCAATGCTCTAAAATAAAACATAGCCTAGCAGCCTTTTTCTCATAGAAACACACTAGATATTTCTCATCCCTGAATCTAGAGTTTACACAGTAAACCAGTGGGAACTAAAATAGTAATGATAAAAAGGTAAATCGTACACCGTGAAAAGATGAAAAAAACTTACTTAAGACTTTTCCTTTTTTACATGTTCTGCAGTAAGCGTCAGTTTCTCCATCGAGGCAGGTTTGGCAATTCGAACTACAGACGAGGCATTTTCGTATCTTCGTATTCCCATATTCACCCAAAGGACACTTATCGACACAGCTTCTAAGATTGAGATATGACGGAGCGAAACAACTCTTGCATTTGTCAGCACCTCCATCGCAAGTTTTACAAGACTGTGAGCATCTTTGGCAGACTCCAGCTTGCTCGAAAAAACCATCAGGACATTTTGAAATACACCTCTTTGACGTGTCGGGACCTTTACAGGCGATTCCAACGTCTTCTGTATGACCGCAGTTATTAATGCCTATTCCACCTTGAAAAGAAATAAAGGGATGACAGTCATGGCCGTGATTTTGAAATCATTGAAGAATACAGAGGTGCCTATATCCTGAAAAAAGGAAATGCCTTCAGTTGGAACTTTTGAGCTACGCCGCGGACTGCCGTACTTGCGGTGGTGATAAGTGACAAAATTAAGGAAAGAAGAAAAAAAATTGATTGGGTCCAGCCATTGGATTTTGCCATTGCTTTTTCAATGCTTTTGTCCTTTCAAGTTGTCCAAGTGATTCCAGCTACATGAATCAGTAGGTTTTAATGCGCATGCAGCTCAAAATATCATTTGCCAAAAAAAACAAAAACAAAAAAAAACCTTAATGGCCTTATGAAAAATGACACATCTGTAAATAGCAACTATATTAGTTCTTTATCAAATAAGTTATGACTAGAAACTATATGTGTTTTAATTGTTCAGAGAATACTATTAACATTCTCACCTGAATTCATCTTGCAGTCAAGAAGCCTCTTTTCTGTTCCAATACAATGTAGATCATCGAGCAGTATTTTACCTTTGCCTCTTCCATAAAACGCTTGGTGCTTGAACGAAACTGCTGTACCTAACTTGAGCTGACGGCAAGCGACTTGAGCGTCCTTGATATCAAAATTATCGTCACAAACTGTACCCCACTCTCCGTTGTATTTGATTTCCAAGCGTCCCACGAGCGTATTGTTTGTACCAGACAATCTTATATCTTCGATGCCACTTATAATACTTTTAGCATTACATGTTTTGACACACATGTGACGCTCAGTATCTAGTAGCTTGGGGGAAACACAAGATGTACAATTGTTAGGCGTGCCAAAGCAGGCAGCACAATCCACACTGCACGGCTTGCATTGGTTACTAGAAGCTTCGGCATAAAATCCATCGCCACAGTCTTGAACACATGTATTTCTCGCAGAGGACTTGTTAAGGAATTCATTGGCTTCACATGCAGTGCAGTTGTCTGGGAATATTGCACAAAGTTTGCAGTCTGGACTACATTTTCCACATGTTTTGTTCACGCTGTAGATAAAAGTATCGAAATTATTTATATTTTAGTCACGTTATAAGAAAGTCATTCATCGCCTTTACTTCAGGTTTTTCGAATGCAAATCCCGCTTGGTCGCAGTAAGGGACTGGTCGGAAATTAGCAGGGGGTGGAAAGTGGATATTTAAAATCAAAAACAATTATAGACAGACCTGGCTTCAGCTAGTACATATGGAAACAAAACGGTACGCCAGACATGACAGAATGCCAGTGGAAAGAAACAAAAACACAAATTAAAAAAGACTTGAAGATCAAGAGATTCAAGCTCGGCACGGCCAATTATATTATGACGAAGGAAGAAAAGATTTTAAAAAGAATAAGCTAATAACTTAACAGATGTTTCAGAACTGATTTCCATCAAGAAGAATATCTGAGAGAAGTCAGCAACACAAAACGTAGAAGAAATGTGACAAAACTAAGAATCAGCAACCACCCCCGGCAAGTTGAAATAGGAAGATACGCGCGCCCATATATAAGAGCAAACGAAAGAAATAAAAATTCAAGTTGAACCGTTGCGCCTACCTCATGTAATACCCATCGGTGCAATCTTTAATACAGTCACGTGAGTTGTCTGGGCCAGCACATCGTACACTTGCATCTTCAGTATGTTCACAGTTTTCGGTCCCCCAGCCTCGATGTCCACACTTCGCTAAAGTAGTCTCAGTTCCTATAAATAGAAGACAGGAAATATAATTAAGAATATGGTGGTGCTACTGCTGATAAGGTGGTGGTGATGAAGATGAAGATATTCAAGACAACATACCAAGACATGCGACATCGTCAAGCCAGGTTCTTCCAAAACCTTGTCCGAACTTGCTCAGCGAGAAAGCATTGGTGGCGTTCCCAAGGCCAAGCATACGACAAACCACTCTTGCATCATTCAAATCCCATCCATCATCACAGATCGTTCCCCATTCATTATTATATAAGACCTAGAAAACAATAAAAATTTAAAGCTAGCCAAGAGGGATGTTAAATCTCAGCTCAGGGAAGAGCTAATACGTTTTCCAAGAGCGGATCCAGGGTTTTTTTGAAGGGGGGTCTCAGGGGTAGATTTTGTGGGCAAAGGAATCCCAGTCGCATTTTTACTACAGGAAGCCCATTTGACCTCAGGAATGACATGGGGGGTCGCGAAACCCCCAACCTTCCCCCTGGATCCGCCCTTGTTTTTCTGAATGACCTCTAACTCTTATGCATATATAAACTGCAGGAAGTTGTAGTATCTCAGATAAAACGTTTAAGCTTTTAAACTTATAGTCAAAACACCTACAACGCTTAGTTCTTTTAATACTTTTAGTGTATACTAGAAATAAAACAGTTGCCACATAACACAAACCTCGACTCGCCCTTCCAAGGAGGTCTTTCCCTTGACCAATCGTATCCCGTGCGTTGTAGCTGGTTTATACCAAGAACCACAGTTCTGTAGACAATCCGAACCTTTTCTATATAAGGGCGGTACACACGACGTGCAGTTTTTAGGAGTGCCATAACACGTATCGCATTTTGAATTACATGGTAGGCATTCTTGCTTTACTTGATCAAGATACCTTTCACGACCACAACTTCGTACGCAAATCGAGTCGTACTTGTAGTATCCATCTGCACATTTGATGCAATTGGTTGCATTACCATCACACGTCGCGCATGAGGTGTCGCACAACTCACACACGGAATTGCGAGCATAAAAACCTGCAGAACACTTGTCTTGACACTTCCTTATTCCTGGTCCCGAGCAGCGGACAATAACGTCTTCATTGTGGTTGCAATTCGATTGTCCCCAAACCCGATGGCGGCAGTCTTCGAGAGCAGATTCTCTACCAATACAAAACATATCGTCCAGCCATATCTTTCCAGTTCCTTTAGCGATGTGTGATAGAGGTTTGGAGACTGGACTGCCAAGATTCAGTTGCCTGGATGATAATCCAAATAAAATTCATGCAGTGAGTTAATGACTTTTTTTTGTCTGCTGTGCTGTCTGTAATTTCGTTTAGGCGTAATGTCTGAATTTTCCTTGGCGACGAAATCAATAAAAAAAACAAAAAAAAAACAATACTAATACTAACACTAATACTAATACTAATACTAATACTAATACTAATACTAATACTAATACTAATACTAATACTAATACTAATACTAATACTACTACTACTAATAATAATAATGACAAGGAAACTAAACTTGTGTAAAAAAGTTTGGAGCTATACTGACGTTTTGAACGCTAGTCCTTCATCTGAATAAAAGAGCAAGTTAGTATAGTTACAAACTTTTTTTAAGCGTATTCGACACTTGCACAAACACAGTCCAAATTATAGCGTAATTGCTAGTCATTATAGAGTTGAATAAACGTGATTTTAAGCTGTGGGCCGGATTCCCGCGTCCCCTCGTAGTTAGGAAAAAAAACTTCTTTGTGAGATATGTAAATTAATCAGTGCACTCACATGTACACATGACGGAAAAACATTTTTTAACACTACACTACACTACACTACACTACACTACACTACACTACACTACACT